CACTCTCAGTAATACGCAGAGCAGATGATGATTTCTCTGAAGATCCAGAAATGCCCATGGGTCGTCCCTTCTCTCCAGCTGACTGTTTGGCCGAAGTGGACCAGAGGGTGTGCAGTGGCGAGCGCCATGTGGACTGGTACTATGACAGCAAATTAGGAAACTGTCAAGCCTTTAACAATGGTGGTTGTGAAGACAGCCGCAATAGGTTTGAGACCTATGAAGAGTGCAAGGCCTCTTGCCAGAGAGAAGGGATGGGCATATGCTCCCTGCCTGCAGTCCAAGGTCCCTGTAAATCTTGGGAGGCACGCTGGGCCTGGAGTACTATTATGAAGGAGTGTAAGGCCTTTGTCTATGGTGGATGTCACGGAAATGCCAACAACTTTCAAACTAAGAAAGAGTGTGAAGCAAACTGTCCTCAACGGAAAAAGAAACCTTGTAAGACTTGTCGGGTTAAAGGGAAAATGGTGCCCAGTTTGTGTCGAAGTGACTTTGCCATAGTGGGACATCTCACAGAGTTGGTGGAGGATCTAGACTCTGGATTGGCACGATTTAGTTTGGAAGAAGTTCTGAGAGACGAAAAAATGGGTTTAACTTTCTTTAATACGAAGCATCTTGAAGTAACTATTGCAAAGATAGACTGGAGCTGTCCCTGTCCCAACATTACAATGGAGGAAAACCCCTTGTTGGTCATGGGTGTTGTGCAGGATGGCATGGCAATCATCCAGTCGGACAGTTATGTTAAATCAATAACTGAGCGCAGACTCAAGAGGCTGCGAGAGGTACTGGGCAAAAAGGGCTGTTAAGAGGATCTTTTCCAAATGATTGATGTACAAGAATATTGTGCTTGCATTATTTTACTAATGCTTATTTTACAAACAACCATTGCATTATTTTACTAATGCATTTTTTCCAATAAAAATATTTTTCAACCCAAACATTTTCTTAATGAAAACATGATTTATTAAAAATATTGTAATGAAATGGCTTTTAAAGAAAATTTAAAATTTTAATTTAGGCATAGATTCACAAGCCTATGTCTAACAGCTGAAATACTTCATACTACACTCTCCTTTCTGAACAGAAGACACTTGTTGTTTGCAGGCATATCAACCTAAATGGTAAAAAAAAAAAAAAAAAAAAAGATATGAAAAAAGTCAGTTGCAGTACCATTTCCGATATGATCATAATGTAAATGTGAAAGAAACTAACCATTTTCTCCAGGAATAAACTATTACTTTCTGCTATAGATCTGAGAAGGACAACATCTCTCAGACCCCACTCAGGATTTCTATGGGCCAAAACAAAACCTTGGTTGCTACATGAGGGTCATACACACAGAGTTAAATAACTTAAGATACTGTACCTTTGCCGTAGACTCTGGTCAAAGTCAACATTGCTCTGCGGTGTAATCCTACCATTTACTGCATAAGGCTGAAAATGGTGATAAACAATTACCATATGATACCACTCATGTTTATGTCATGAAGAAAAAATGTGCTTACACCATATGTAAGTAGAAGACCCTGTGGCTTTAGCAATGCTCCAGCTCCTCTGAATAGGCCCTGAAATAAAAGAGTGGAGTCTTAAGGCTATGGGATACAGAAGATATATTAAAAAAGCACTTATTATTTATAGTAATAAAGAATGTAATATGCTGTTGTTTTTGTTATAGAAAGGCCTTTTCATGCTTTAGTCTTTATAGCCAAGTACATCTATATGTACAAGTAAAAATAAAATTTTATAAAAATATGTCTCAGTTATATACAAGAGAATCTGCTTCTCAGTCTTCTTAATGGGCAGGAGGAATCAAAAACCAAGTACAGAAAAATAGTTACTCCTACGTGTTTAAGACAATACTACAGGCATGACGTATAATTAGTTTTACAATTTTTTTTCTTCAGATTGTTTTTAGACTATGGGGGCAAAAATGACACTGTGGTGGGACACCATAATCTCCACTATTAATGGGAAAAGTGCAGTACTGTGTCACAAAACAGTTGCTTTACCTCTGTACAAGCCATAGGGGAAATGTGTATCATGTTGATGTTGAGGACCAGGTCGAGGCTCGCTGGCTCAATGCCTCCCCATTGCACATGAGACAAAGAAGCATCCAGGTGAATGGCAGGTTTCACATTAGCCAGCCTGTAGTGGGCTCTGTACGCTTCTATACTGAGGAGGGGAACAAAAGGGGGTTTGTCAAAACAGGTAAATCACAGCGAAACACAGCGGTGTTCTAGACTGGGTTCCCACAGGTACCACTACCATAAGGCTATAGTGTTTTTATGGTTTTATTCATGGGGCTTCATTAACAGTTTAAATCCACATTTCTTAGTAAAACCACAGCGTATTTTAGTCTGTATTTATTTCCCCGAGTGAGACAGAATTCATTTAGTAATTTGTGTAGATATTTGTGTATTTAAAATGGAAATTGAAATGATTTGGAAACATACATGCTAATTTCACATTTTAGACCACAGGGCGAGCTTATATTAAATATTCACCTGGCCAAAGATTGATGATCATACTCTGAGGGCTGCCAGACCACATTACGCAAACTCTGAGCGAAGTGCGTGACGTGCTGCCCGGTACCGGAGGAGATCTCGAGTGCTTGGAGAGGTTTGGCAGGGTCCAAGCACTCCCGGAGGACGGACAGGATGGGCTCCTTGTTTCGATCAGCTGCGGGGGCGTTTAGCATTCTGCCAAAACCCGGTTTAAACTGACGAATAGCACAGTTCAGAACAACACTCATCCACACATCTACCAGCTTCCGCATTGGCTCACACGTGATTCCCAGAGTCGGACGCAGGAGCGTAGCTGGGGAGAACTCAATGGAGTCCTATGAGATTTTTTGTCTTCTTTCAAATATACAATGTAATATAGAATGGTATAAACAACAACAACATTGCTAGAGGCTTAAGAATTCATATTCACACAGCTCAGCATGAGCACTATCTGCATTATGCATTATACAAATTCAGAAAAATAATACACTATATTTCAAATTCCATACAATTTACTTTTGATAGGATTAGGATTAAATTCAGCACATTTATATTTTTGCAGGAATTTTTCTCAAAGACACCGAAAAGTAGGCCTACATGCTTTACATTAAATTGTATGTTTGTATCAAGCTTTCAAAAATATGTAATTCCAAAAGATTTGAATGCGCATTCCGCAAAACACATGGGTGACTGACTGTTTCTTCAACACTGTGACAGAATGAGCGATGATCTGCGTCTAAACGAAATTTTCAAATGACAGCGTTAACAGAGTAACATCTATTCAGGATTTTCAGGCATACCCCACGAGTCTAATTAATTACAAAATATTTTCAAGGCAAAAGCCAAACATCGTTTCAGTTAATGTTCGTAAATCTAAAAAGGTGAATATGCGTGGGCCTCGATCATTTGTCACCCGTGAAGAAAACAACTCCAGCGACTCAGCCACTACGCTACATGATATCTAATATAAAGTCACAAAAGTGTTTAGTACCATAGCGACACATGGTGGTCATTTAATGCACTGCTACTTACAGTCAGTTTACTCAGACATCTTTGCCATGTTAATTTGTGACATTGCAATGCTAAGTCACCGATGCGCAATTACACGACACTTTTTTTCTTATAGCGCCACAGGCAGCGTGATGTGCGCGTGTATTACATGGTGGAAAGTCAACTATCAAAGTTAACGTAATATATAGTATAGTGTACGCCTATAGTATAAGAGCAGAGCACACGCCTTTTAACGTTAATGTGCTGATGTGGCAAGTGTGTAACCTGTGTAACTGACCACCACGTAACTACGCCACTGCAGGTATGTGCAGCACTCGCGTGACGTTTGATGCAGCTTGGCAGGCTGTTTCATGATCCATGCTGATTTAGGATCCACGTTTGGATGCAGCACCTTCATTTTCAGTGAAAAATACCTAAGCTGGCTGTTAAACATAAGGCTATTGCAGCAGTTCTTTAATGTTGCAAATAGAAAATACTTAAATACTTACAAGAGTGTGAGTCTCATATAGACTTGAGATGATTTTGGCCAATATGATATTTGACATATTTTGAGAGAACAAACTCTGTAATGTGAAATAAGGCAACAGCACCAACAGTTTATTGTACAATATGTATGTACCGAGAGAGATAAACATTTAAAGTGCACAGGGTTTGATGTTTTTCTTATTTATTTTGGTGGGATAGTACTTGTGGTAAATATTTATCATAGTTTTACATCAGTTTATGAAGAAAAGTTGAATTTAATAAGTTGAAAAGTTCTGTCATCAGTAAACAAAATTCCACCCAAAATGTTAATTGAGAATGGCCCTTGTTTACAGTTTGGTTGTGTGTAACAATGATTTACCTCTCTGTATGTCATATTTGCAACCCATACAAAAATGGACAAAAATGTGCCAGCACAGTGTGATTTTTTTCATGTGGATAGGATTATAGGTGAACAATGGAAACTACAAAACACTGGGTAATAAAACTTATGCAGAACCAAGACTGACCTGAGTACAGCTGCGTGTGAGTCTCATAATCTGATAAATGTTATGGAGGCATGGTGGATCTGTATTAAGATCTTACACTTCCATAGATGGAGCACGGTGCTCTGGTCATGTTTGTACCTGTGTATTTATACCTGTGTATTTGTTCCTGTGTATTTGTACCTGTGTATTTGTTCCTGTGTATTTGTTCCTGTGTTTTTTACCTGTGTTTTGTACCTGTGTTTTTATACCTGTGTATTTGTTCCTGTGTATTTGTTCCTGTGTATTTGTTCCTGTGTATTTGTTCCTGTGTATTTGTACCTGTGTATTTGTACCTGTGTATTTGTTCCTTTGTATTTGTACCTGTGTTTTTGTACCTGTGTTTTTGTACCTGTGTTTTTGTACCTGTGTATTTGTTCCTGTGTATTTGTACCTGTGTATTTGTACCTGTGTATTTGTTCCTGTGTATTTGTTCCTGTGTATTTGTACCTGTGTATTTGTACCTGTGTATTTGTACCCGTGTATTTGTACCCGTGTATTTGTTCCTTTGTATTTGTACCTGTGTATTTGTACCTGTGTATTTGTACCTGTGTATTTGTACCTGTGTTTTTGTACCTGTGTTTTTGTACCTGTGTTTTTGTACCTGTGTATTTGTTCCTGTGTATTTGTTCCTGTGTATTTGTTCCTGTGTATTTGTACCTGTGTATTTGTACCTGTGTTTTTGTACCTGTGTTTTTGTACCTGTGTTTTGTACCTGTGTCCTGTAGCTCCACTCCGGTGCTTCGGGTGAAAGTTCCACTTTTTTCTCCACCTCATGTCTTTCCTCATCTGCAGACAAGACAGACACTTATTCAATAACTGAGCTCTTATGAGACAAAAGCACCAATGTCAGCTAAAAAACATTATGAAGAAGCTAAAGAGATTATTATCTGAATATCACAACACGTTTAACAAATGACATGACAAAAAAACCTGAAAACAAGACAGGCTACTGGTTACCATAGCAACGGGGTCTGCTGGTCAGCTGACTGGGGTAGGACAGGTTTATGACTTTTCAGAAAAAAAAGTATTAAATAGCCAATCCCATAAAACAATCAATTGGGACTTAGTAAAGAAAACCTTCAATCTGTCATTTTCAACTTATTTAAAAATAAAGAACTGAGACTCAAAAGTGAAATCAAAGGGAATTTAAATTGATCTGAAATTTCAGAAAATCACAAATCTGGTCACAGTCATCAAAAAAGGACACCTCAAAAAAAAAAAAAAAAAAAAAAAAAAAAAAAAAAAATTCTGGGGATTTCTGTTTGTTCTGTTTGAATATTGTGAATCCGGAGGTCTGGTTCTTGTCTTCCTTCTCAAGCAGATGGCGCCACTGCTCTGGGCGACGCGGGCTAATTGGTCCTTAGGTTTTCCTCTGTAAAACAGTCAAAAGTCTAAAACATTTTTTTTTCTTTCTAAATTCTGCACACATTACACATTTTATTCAACATTACAATATTTAAAGATGTACTTTTTATTCTAGCAGCAGGAGATAGACAGACAGACAGATACACAGACAGCAGCGTTTCCCACGCTGACGAAAAAGTGAGGAGGGGAGATTCTTTGCTCTTGTCTGTATACATTATAACATGCACTGTATTTAATTTTTTTATTCTTACTATTTTATTTTTAATACTATGTACCAGATACTACGTGTTCTTAATAAAGATTGAGTTGAATTTGCACGAAGTGAGGAGCGGGGTGCGCGGAGATTTCGCGACGACCGGAGTTTTGCAGGAGTCACGTGGTTCGGAGGAACGTAGTCAAGACGACCGCTTTAACTATGAAGTGCTACGGGAAACACGGGATAGATACATAGATAAATAGATAGATCTATGGGGGAGATAACGTGGGATAGTTGTCATGGTGATTCTCGCCAGGTGGGCGTGGTCACGTGAGCACAGATGTATGCTGGGTTCTTTTAAAAATGGCGCTCACCTGTACAGGTAAGGGACCTGTCACCTGATGACGTGGCACCGGGGAGCCGAGCCAACTCGTTTTGTTTGTCGACAGCTTCACTAAAGTGATAAGACTTCAAACGCTGTTTTATGTCAGAGGAAGCTCCTCTCACGGCAGCGCGCAGTTTTTAGCAACAAAGAAAGAAAACGCGGTGTGGAAGCGCAGGACCCGCGGGATTCAGAAAAACGCGCCAAAAGTGCAGCGAGACCCAAATCACCATCAGCTCGACAAACAGCACGTAGGAGTCCAGGTAAGTCTTACGACTCCAGGTGAGTCTTGTTTGTGGATACGGAATCATTGTTGTAATTGGCCCTCGCCCCTAATTGTTTTTCGCCGGTTTCTTACGTTTGTTTATTGGCCCTCGCCACTAACAAAGTTATTATTATTATTTTTCCTTGCAAACGATCGCGATTTTGAGGGCCTAAACGTCGACGAAAAGTCCCCAAACCGGGTCCAGATCGATCGGCCCGGTGAAAAATGTCATAAAATGGGCATCGCGACTATGCCCAAAGCCCCCCACTCAACAGCGCCCCCTAGAAAATGCACATTTTAAAATGAATGGGAGTCTGAGACACATATTTTGTCGTACGGTCACGAAATTCGGAACAGTGATAGAACTCTAGGAGACAAGCGAAAAAGTCAATCATTGTGCACCCCTATGACGAACAGGAAGTCGGCCATATTGGATCAAACATTCGCCGCCGTTTTGACTTGGGGGTCTACAAAAAGATTCAAGTCCCCGGGGTTTGGTCCAAATGAGCTCAGATTTGACATGTCACATCTACAGACATAGCTTCACTCAAATCGTCCATGTTTTTGGGATACTCCTTACGGTTTGCCCGTAGCACACCGCCGAATAACGCCTTCATTTCCTGTTTTTTCGGTGACCTGTCACGGCCACAGGCATTGTCCTAGAGAACTCAAATTCAAATCACAATTGCGTGATCCAGGCCTGAATGTGATGAAATATGAAATTTAATAAAAGTGAACTCTATAGCGCCCCTAGCATAGACGTGAAACGTCAACATTATCGGATTAGTACCAAATTCGGAACATAAATTCTATGTATGATTACAAGCAAAAAAGTCTATTACGGACATGATGCATTTTCCACTATTGGCCAGCAGGGGCGCAAAGACTCCCCCCAAAAATAGTAAAAAAATTATTACACCCACAGGCTTAGTCCGATCGTGCTGAAATTTGAATCATTAATGCCTGATCATGGCCTGAATACAATACACTATAAAACATATGAAAAATGAACTCTATAGCGCCCCCTAGCATTGACAAACATCAACATTATCGGATT